ATGTCCCAGGCCACCCAGAAACTTTAAGACATAGCCTCCTTTCTAGATCTCAGCCCAGAGCTCTTTCCTTACTACAGGTATTTGCCAGTAGCAATTTTTAATCACCAGTTATTAGATCATGTATCATGGATGAGATTTTTATATAGAAAAAGAAAAAAAAAGCAACATTCAGAAAGAGCACAGGACAATAAACAATGACTGGGAATGAAGATTCAGGAAACCTGGGGCGTATACCAGTTCTGCCACCAAAGCAGCTAGTGACTTTAGGCAAGTCATTCACTTGCTTTCAGCCTTAATTTATTTGGGTACTTTAAAAGTATTGACTACGTATGTATACATGGCAGGAAAACAGTATTTCCAACAAAATCTTCCCTCGAAGCTCAATATGTAAAGAGGAAAATAAAGCGGGGCTGCTCTGGATGAGGACTAAATGGAAGCCTAGAACCCTGCCCAAATAACCCTTGCATGAGGGGGTGCTAGGGGATGGAGAGGAGGGTCCACTGGAGCAGATCCGTGGCTGCCACTCTCTCTCTTCAGTTTTGTGGATCAGAAAAAGCTCGAAAAAGATTTTAAAGGACTGGAATGGGTTTTTACTTTGTCAAGTAATAATAATTTTTTTAAATTATCGGAACTATTTCATAAGTGAAAGGATATTTTAGCATCAAAAACGTAGGAAGAACAAAATATCAAGTGAATAAAGTTAATTTTGCTTCACGAAACTACTGTTGGGCCAGAGAATAAGTCATTGAAGACGAGTAGACTGGAAAGTCAGTGCAGAGCACCTCTCAGGTCTATGAGCGTTTTTGCTGTTGTTGTTGTTGTCTGTTTTTGTTTTTATTTTTTTGAGATGGAATGGCACACTGTCGCCCAGGCTGGAGTGCAGTGGCATAATCTCGGCTCACTGCAGCCTCCACCTCTGCCTCCCAGGTTCAAGTGATTCTCCTGCCTCAGCCTTCAGAGTATGCTGGGATTACAGACGTGCACCACCACACCCAGCTCATTTTTTGTATTTTTAGTAGAGACAGGGTTTTGCCATGTTGGCCAGGCTGGCCTCGAACCCCTCATCTCAGGCAACCCATCCGACTTGGCCTCCCAAAGTGCTGGGATTACAGGCATGGGCCACCATGCCTGGCCTAGAGTTTTAAAGTTAAATAACTACTACTTCTTCAGACCTCCTATCCCAGCAGCTCTAACTTCCACACTACTTTTCTGTCAGTACAGAGATTACCTTAGGTATTCAAGAAACTATTACTTAAGACACTATTTGTTAAGTATAAATAAGAACACAGCACAAACCAGAAAATAAAAACAAGTGAAAATGTACAGTATCTATAAACTTGAACCTCAAAATGTGTAACATTTCACGTAACTTTCCCTACACCTAAATAAGAACTGTAATATCATCTGTAATATAATCAAAGCAACTTTCAACTTTAACTATTGTGTCCTGAGCTCTTTCCTCCCCTTTGCTCCTGCATAGTCCTTATTTCATTTCGTCAGCCTCAGACTTTGGTTTAATAAATCACACTTTCTTTTCAAAAGCAGCACAGCACTGAGATATTTCTGAGGATCTACCTCCTCAAGTTTCAGCATTGTTGTTCCTTTCCTTTACGTTTCTACAAAATCGTTCCAGCAACCAGCGATTCCTACTTGTGACCATCAAGGCAACAGGAAATCTAGACAGATAACGAGGTAAGGCTGTATGCCAGGATTATGTAACCTGTCTGAACCCGAAAAGCAACATGGTCTATTGATCATTGCTACAAGTATTTTTCCAGTTCTTAGTTTAAAATCTCTAGGCCATAAGAATATAGAACATCTTGTTAGATAAAGTAAAGCAATTCTATTGTGCAGTTCGAATATTTCTCTGCTAAAGTCAGAAGTTTCAGCTCCATATTTATCTTCCATTCCCAATTCTGCACATAACATAATCTAGGCAGAACTTAGATTATCTTTTAACAAAAAGTCATATCAGATTCCTGAGAGGTCTATTCCAACTTTATCCTACTCACATTTTAAAGCAATTTGTCTTAGAAATATCCTCAATATGCCAGAGAAGAGATTACCAGTAGTCATAATTTCTAAAATTGAAAATTCACATTATCATTAAACTCTCTCTTTTCTGGGAAATAAAGATCATTCCATTATACTTTATTCAAACACTTTCCCCAAAATTAAAATAATAATAAAGTGTCCTTTATATCCTTCCTTGTACACTAAAATGATGCTTGCTGCATGAAGCACAATAGGAGGCAGAAAGACAGCTATGTGAGCCCTCTCTTTCTTATACTTTCAGATTCTATGCAGTGATTGCTTAAAAACAGCTATAAATAGCTATGACTACATTTCCTGGTGGGGTTTTCTTTTTGAGATGGAGTTTTACTCTTATTGCACAGGCTGGAGTACAATGGCACGATCTCAGCTCACCACAACCTCCGCACAGGTTCAAGGCAATCCTGGCCTCCTGAGTAGCTGGGATTATAGGCATGTGTCACCACACCCAGATAATTTTGTATTTTTGGTAGAGACGGGGTTTCTCCATGTTGGTCAGGCTGGTCTTGTACTCATGAACTCAGGTGATCCACCCGCCTCGGCTTCCCAAAGTGCTGGGATTACAGGCGTGAGCCACAGGGCCCAGACTTTCCTGGTAGATTACGTTTGCAAATACCACCTTCTTTGACCATTAAAATATCTTCTGGATACCTTGTACGCTCAGGGATGAAAGGGATGCTCCAGCTGGAATCTGACTAAAGTAATTCAGAAGGCAAAATCCTAAGTACCACGACGGTTAGTTTTACATAAGAGGATCAACAAGAAGACAAAGTTTACTCAAAAACTAAGTCACTTGTCATTTAAAGTGCACACACTGAGAGAAACATGGTAACTGACATCATGTTTCTCCTTATATATCACAGAAATCTGTGCCATCACCCCTTTATCAAGTCTTTCCAAACAACATCTCTGGGTCTGCTTCCAAAAGGCGTCTCAAAAGCCACGAGAGCCTTCACCTCCTGTCACTTTCATTTGAAAGGAAGCTGGGTGCAAAAGGTTGGTTCAAGCTAATTCCCTGGGCTCTGTCAGTCACCCTGAGCCTGTCACTGCTGCCAGTCCTCAGTGTCTTGAGGAATGGTTGAGTCCTGGCTGCAAACCAGCCACTGATCCCCCTGGCAATATCACTCTTACAAAAGTACTGCCATCTCCGAACACTTAGACAAGGGCTGTGAAATAGAGGTAGCTGAACCATTCAGAGCAATAATAAAACACAGCCTCTGTCTATTTTAAGCTCCTGGCTGAGCTGCAAAGCCATGTCAGCTCTTCTTTCTGTTCTCAGTCCAATCCTTAGTGGTTATATAGAAATGAGACCTTCTTTTGATAAGAAAGTCTTCGTCCTTTTTTAGATGTCAGGAAACACACACACGGGACAAACACAGACGGGGAGTGCGAAACGGAGGGGAGAGTTTGGCTTAAAGCGTCACTTCAGCGAGCAGCCCCCAGTGAAAAAGTCCACTTCTCACATTTACCATTTTTGCATTTCCCCAGAAGACACAGTATTAACACCAAACATACACACCAATTTATGGGGGAATAAAAGAAAAGAAATCCAGGAGGATAGCTGAAGGGTGAGAGCAATTTCTTACAGCTTAAAACACTATAGAAAAAAAAATCTAGCATACAGCATCAATAAATAAAAAAAAAACATATTTAGTAATATATACAAATCTGCATGAATACACACAAAGGAAATACAGTAACAGGGCTTTCTTTGGCTCTAGATTATATCTTTCATTTTACATTTATATATGCAGAAATGAGAGCTTCTTAGTGAAATAAAATAGGTTTCTTTTTTATGCTGAACATGCAATATTCATAAATATCAAATGCTTTTATTAGACTTAAGATTTTCTTCTTACATTTACATGTCTCCCACCACGGCCTCTGAGATCTAGTGTCCCTGCCATGCTGGTTCACGCCTGCACTTTAAAGAATATGCAGAAGCCACCACCTTATTTAGCAGTCAGCCTGCACACACTGGAGCTCTCGTTTTCGGGCACCTTTGAAGACAGAGTGATATTTAATACTGAATATAAGCAGTGTTTTCATCTTATACTGTAGAATAATTGCTTCCCACTTCAGAACTATAGCATGAGTTATCATCTCTAACTTGCTCTCTAAATGCTATGGCCAGCATAGAAAAAAATGACAAAGAACATTATAGGCTTCCTCAAGGGAGCTGGAGGTTTGCTAACTGCCAAGAAGAAATCATGGCTAGTCCGACACAGCACGATGAGATACAGCATGAGAAATGACATTCGTTATTGGGCCCTGGTTCTAGGAAATCATTTCTACTGAACGTCCTTAGAATGCAGAAGCCGAACCCTTCTCAGTGGCGAACACACTAGATAAAAATCATAGCTGCACGTGGAAAGTGTTTATAATTATACATACATACTTGAGGAAAACTGTACATATATATTTGCTGAAAAGTATCAATTACAGAATATAGAAACAGTAAAAGTGGGAGATACGGAATGCTCTTCCCCTAGATTCTAAGAGCTGAACTGACGCTTTCAGAGTTACCTGTTACCATGTTGGATTCACACAGGCTGCCTACCTGATGATGATGCAGATGAAAATCCTATCAGGCCCCACCCACAGAGTCAACTGCCTTTTGTATTTAATAGACACAAAATATAATAGAAAAAAAGCGGTGGAGTAAATGGGGCAAAGCCCAGTAACAAATTACCTTAGGGATTTTTCTTCCTGCACCAGAGAGGAAACAGATAAACACAAGAAAGTGAATAGAAGGCCACGCTGGGTTCAAGTAGGGCTTGAATCCAACTGGGATGTCAGGATATACAAATAACATATAAAATCCATATTGAAAAGAAGATTTAAATTCCATTTTAATATTATGAGCATTGTTCTTATCAAAATATAAAATGCTTTTGTCAATTCTACCTTAAGAGATCTTGGAAAAATGAATGTATATAAACCCTTACCTTTGCTTGTCTCTTGTTGGCTTCTCGCCTGGCTTCCCTTTCTTTCAGTCTTTTCTCCTGAAGACAAGGAAGAGGGGGGAAATTAACAACACATAATTAGGTATAAAACAGACTACACATTCATTACAGTTTTATTTCCTAAAGCCAATTAATATGTGACATTCATTTTTCAACAAACATTTGCTGACTACCACTATGGGATTGGCACAAGTATTCATTACCCACAAGAATGTGTCGGACAGATCTGGAATCAAATCCTAGTTCTATTGCTTACTCTGGCTATGCAATTTTCAGCTATTTATACTTTCTAACTCACCTAAAAATGGAAATAATGAGAGCGCATACTTCATAAAGTTGCTACAGAGGTCACATAAAATACATAAGTGGTTAGCACAATGTCTGATATATGACTGGCACATAAGCAATGTCAGCTATTAGAATCAAAAGAAAGAAAGAAAATGTAATAATGACCACTTCCTTTGTCCTCTGTCTGAAAACAGAATTTATAAAGGCTATGACATCCTCATCCTGGGGGTTCTTAGAAAAGTGGCAATATTTTCTAAAATAAAAAAACAACATAAGGCCATTCTTACAAAGTATGTTATTTTATTACATTGCCTTATAATTCCCCCATTAGTTTTACACTGATCACAAAATAGGTAGACAAATGCAACATATTTTATTAAAAGAAAAAAGACAGATGTATATTGCTAAAATTCAAAATAATCCAGCTACAGTCGAAATGAACACTGTTTTAAATTTTAAAAACCTCTTCACTCCAGGACTAATGTGTTACTATAAAGGCTATTCCCAATCTTGAGTATATAGCTAACAACTTACATGATTTAAAAAAATTCTGAACTACTAGGCCAACAACAGAAAGGTGGAGAGACTACACATAATTTTCATTTCATGAAGTAAAAACGATCATTAAACATATTAAGGTGAGAATGCACAAGTTTTCTAAGTCTGAGCACTTTTTCAGTACTATTAAGCTTTTCATATACACATGACTTTCTCCAGATTCAAAAACCAACTCTAATCCATCCTATGATAACAGACCTGAGAGAATGTAAGACATCCTTACATCAAGAAGGATGGGAACTGCTACTATACACGATGTCTAGGTTTATAGATTGGCTCCTTTATGATAAAGTGAGACCATAAAGTTAATAGTCTCAAAGAGGGTTTAACACTTGTTTAATTCAAAGAGGAAAGGAGTCCACAGAACTTACAGAATCAGCTTCTATAGCTTCCAACTGCACAGTAGGAAAGCTAAATTCCAAGTGAAACTAACAAAAACTAAAATTCAAATGGCTACTGTGTATGCGTCATGCCCCTGAGTAATAATGTGTTTAATCTGTTTCTGTGATCATTCTTTTTCTTCTCTGTCTTTGGGAAAATGGTTAGTACTGACTTTCAAATAAAATGCCCAACTAACAGGACAGATGAAACATAATGTAGTATTATACAAGAGACACATTCTAGAGATTACTTGGAAGTTCTAGAAACCAAGTTCAATGGAAGGAAATGGAAAGGAGAAAAAAGAAAAACTCAGAAAGTTTTTGGCTTGCTCATTATCGAAGAGCTTCGTTAGAAAGTGACCTATCTCAAAACTGGGTCTCTTCATGTTCCAAATCTGGTGCTTTTTGAAATACATTCTAACAAAAATGTTCGTTTTGGGGGTTAAACATTAACCGATGTGACTTTAAAAACAGAAGAAAATAACATTATTTTCTAGTATTATGTTAGTAAGCTCCAATTAATGCAATAGTGATTATCAAACTTTATCCCTGAACTGGTTCTCTAATGAGATTATGGGGGAGGGGTGCTCTGCCACTAAATTAAAATAATCTCAATGCTTCTGCAAGGTGTGGGGAAAGTAAGTCAATGGATGGCAGTTTCTAAACAATTTGTGCCTAAATTCTTCTTAAAAGTTGGCACCAATTACTGATTTTCTTTGCACATTAGCAGACTACAAAATACACAAAGGAAGCAAAACAAGATTAAAGAAAAAAATGATAATAATTGAACATAATTAACACTTCATTTGCACTGGCTCTAGCAAGTGGATACATGTATTTGTAACTTTATCTCCCTTCTCTTCCCACCCCACGCCCTGCAGAGTTTTCCTTTGTTAGATACGAAAATGGAACAAAGATATTTTGTTATTCAGCAAAGACTGCAATGACTTTTGAATGCTGCTTACACTAATGTTAAGATTATAGCTATATAAAATATCAACTACAGAGAGCAATAAAAGTGTACTTTCATAAAAATTTCTTTGTCCATTAGCAACATTACTATGCTATTTTCTTGCCAACAGTAATAGCTCAGAATTATTAAGTATCAACAATGTACTAGGCATTTCATATAACAATTTGTTTTTTTCTCTTTTTAAATCTATGTAACAGAACCTATAAGGTATTATTATTCCCATTCTATAGATGTAAAATGGATCAAAGTAACTAATAACTTGCCTGATGTCACACACAGTAAGTGATGGACTTGAGGCTAAACTGGGCCTGGGGAGCTAAAGGCCTCACTCCCTCAAATCTAGCACACAACTACACACCACTACACACCACTACACTCCACACTCCTCCACTGGAACACTGACTTCGCTTTGCAGGTTCATACTTAGTATTTGCATCTTCAATATGTTCAGACAAGTGTTGCCACTCCTTTTATCATTATAGTCAGCTACCATACGGGTCTTTTAATCCTGACAGCATTATTTTTCTGACATCATTTTATAGACATTATTTAATTAATTTTTGCAAGTCTTCTATGCAGAAGAAACAGGTAACTGACCACATTTAAAAGCCATGCAAATTTTTGTTGTAATTATTCAATAATTGATCTTCCTCCAATACATCAGTGTCTGCAAATGACCCTTCAAAGTTGCAAAGAACAACCTCGAATATATTCACATCAGAAAAACCCTTTCTACTCAAGCAAACATCACAATGCTGGGGGTTCCCATTTAGTCATTTTAATCATAGGAGAAAAAAATATTGACAATTTTCTACTTTACTGAATTCCAGTATTAATACATTATGATCACTAAAAGATATTTTAAATTTCAGCTTTAAATTGGCTACCAGAATTTACATGTGCATGCAAATGAGATAATTTTTCCCTTTTAAATTTCCTACCAAAATTTTCAGATGAACAAGAGATATCCAAAGACTTTTACATGCAGCAAATGTCCCGAAGACTTGAAACAAATACACTAATGACAAACTTTCAATAGTAAGTGAAACGAAAGGAAAATAATTTGAAATGAATCATGAGAAAACGTTTCTTTCTTATCTGAAAGCGCTTTGTTAGTACTCTGAAAAGAGCCAAGAGTAAACATCAATAGAGAAGCAAAAGAATTGAAAGTAGATTTATCATAATTCAAAACTTAGAAAATGAATATATTCTCTCTTTGTGGAGGTAGGAAAAAATTAATTTTTTTAAAGGTTTATGACATATGGTAAAATATAAAAATAAAAGGCTGGAGTACAATGACTTCAGGAGAAGGGTACAAGTGAATTTCGTTAGATTCAGTAACTGAAGTCCTTCTCCCCACTCAATTAAGTGTGGCTCAAATGCCTTAAATCCTTTATTTTTCCTATTTTATTTTTAAGGACATACTGGTACCGAAAGTTATTTTATGCTACAAAAAAAGAATGCCAAATGTTATCTTTAGTTCTGCCATGCTACAAATGATTAAGTATAAGGGGAGCATGAAATTCAGTAATGAAAATCAAATTCACAAGGGACAAAAAAACAGAAAATCAAATTTCAAGGTATAAAATACTCCCTTTATAGATATTATATTTCTTTTGGATTCTCACACACTATAGGTCCTTAGCTTCCAGAAAAGAAAGTACCATGAAATATGAATTTCATGAGCAGTCAAGACTACGAATTTGAACTTTTTCATTCTAGAGTGAGTCTTATTTCAAATCTACAAATGGAAGTACAACCCATTTGCATGACTCTCAGGCAATGCTGTCAGTTTAATAAGGAATTGAGTCCCCAGCTATCGCAGAAGGAAGAAAGGGACATGTATCTTTACTTCAATATTAGAATAACCTATTTTTCAGAGAAGAAAACTGGCTTAACAAACGTGAGCAAAAGAAAAATCATGAGAATTGTAATTCCCAAAGATATCCCCTGCCCTCCAAGAACAAAATTCCAGTAAATCCATCCCACGAACTTACCACAACAAGGTTCTCTGATCTGTTACCTATTTTACAGAGTTTTGCTTGAAGGACATTAAAAAGTGGACTTCTATGTATAAATCTGTAACAACTATAACAAGGATATGAAGACAGAATGAAAAAAACAAACTGATGTGGAAACACTGATTCTCTAAATCTGTTGAATATTCACCAAGCTACTATGTGACAGGCCACATGGTTGGCTCTGGATACATATAATGGGCAACACAGACATAGACCATTGCCCTTTGCAGTTTATAACTTAATCCTATCAGACTCCCTGATTCCACTGGCACCAAACTGCTCCGTGCTCAACCCCAATCTCTACCTACTCACTATCAGCCTAATAATCAACATACCTCTCCAACACCATATGGTTTAAAAAAAAAAAAAATCCCCGAAAGAAAGCATGAAAATAGATCAGATTTATGTAATTCTGAATATTTGTCTCATTTTGGATGCTGGATATAAAGGGAGCCCAAACACCAAGATACTGAGCTTAATGTCACTAGATGCCATAAGCTCATGAGAGTAAGAACAGAAACCCCCCAGGCAGACATCTCCAAATGAAGGTTCTGTGGTAACAGACTGGCTTCCATTTTAATAATAAACCTGGCTGTGACAGTAAAAGGGCTGGAACTAGAAGGAAAAAGGGTTGTAAAGAAAAGGATCTTTTATCCTCCCATGTAAATAAGCTTTATTCGCAACATCCATTTTAGAATTAGGCACCAGATGCTGAGTCCCTTTTCCTCAATATGACATTTCTGATCTTAGTAAAACTGCATAAGGACCATATGAGCCGGACCAGTCTCTGACGTTACTTTAGACTATAAAATGGCCATA